TATCCACCTTTTTCTTGTCGTAAAAATGGGCGCGGCCATTTGTAAATTCTGTGGGTCTGGCTTCCGGTCTCATCTGCGTCCACTCCGTCCAGCTATTTTTAGCTGAACAAAACAGTTCATTTTGCTGCTTTATATTGAAAGTTGGTGCGTCTTATCATATTATTTTAATGTATTATCTTAATTATGAACACACTGGTTTGTAGTGCAAACAGTTTTACCGTTTACTGCACGTTGTTATTCTCCTCGTTATTTACCTATAGCGGCTAATGAACCGGAAGTCTCACCCATAGTCTTACTTCCGCGTTGAAGAAAAAGGTGGATAGAAACCGGGACTTCTAACAGCAGCTGCAGTGACGCACTGACTTTACTAATTAGCAATTTTGCTTAAAGTCTGCTAAATTGGAACAACTAGTTTTGTTCTTAATGCACTTTAATTGTGCGGAAGTAGTGCTGAAGTCCAACTAAATATATACTAAAGTATATTGATTGTGCTAAAGTGGAACTATTGCAAGTATACTTCAGGTACACTTTAAATATCTTGCTTTTAAAGACCGATATTATTCAAAAATCAAACAATCCTCATCAATAGTGTCATTTAAACACATTTTCGGCTTAATATTAAGAAATATGCATTGTATATGCAGTACTCCAAATAAAGTTGAATTATAATTTTTATATCAGTAAATCTCGAGCGGTATGTCAGTAAATATGTTAATAGATTTGAACTATACTTAGTATGAAATAAATGTATTTTAAATATATTACTTTTTTACTAAAATTTATTCTTCTGGGATTGAGATTAATTGCAACTAATCATTTCCGCCCCACAAGACTTTTTATTTCCTAATTTATCTCTTCCTTGCTTGTCTTTTTGCTGAATCCAAAATGTGTTTCTCTGCATTCCTGCAGTCGTCCCCTCCAGCCCCACCATGGCCTCCTCCACCAACCTGCCCTCAAACTGCAGCAGCTCTTCTGGAATCTTCTCCTTCTCTCCGGCAAACATGGTTTCAGCTGTGAAACAGAAGAGCGCGTTCGCTCCTGTCGTTCGGCCCCAGTCCTCACCTCCACCTACATGCACTAGCACCAATGGGAACGGTCTCCAAGGTAACGCACAAGTCCTTCACACTCAGATTCTGCTGGGGTGGGATTTTTATGACAGTAATGACATCATCAAACTTTAAAAACGGAAAATACTGCAGCAATAAAATGGATGTCCACTGACAACACTGTATAAAAGTGTGCGAATTACTTCCAGAGGTTCGACTTTTTTTATTTATTTAAATAATAATTTATGAGCACCAGTCTGTTTCAACTCAAATTGGCACCTTGTAGTTTTTTTTTTCTTTAAAAAAAAAATAAATAAATTTAATGTAAATGTTTTAATATTAAGTCTAAAATGTGTTTTAATGTCACTATTGATGAGGATTGTATGATCTTTGAATAATATTGGTCTTTAAAAGCAAGATATTTAAAGTGTACCTGAAGTATACTTGCAATAGTTCCACTTTAGCACTTCAGTATATCTTTAGTTGGACTTCAGCACAGCTTCCACACAATTAAAGTGCATTAAGTACAAAATGAGTTGATCCATTTGAAGCACAATTGCAGGGTATTTTTATTAAGTTCATAAATAAGTAAATGTATTTGTAGTATACTTAGCATGAAATAAATGCATTTCAAATGCATTTTAGTATATTTATTTTTCACTAGGGAAATATGACAGTAATGATGTTTCGGTGATACTGAAGTAGAATACTGAGATTTTTGTATTTATTTATTTTTTAACCATTCAAACATTTGGGATTGGTATGATATCTTAATGTTTTTTTTTTAGTCTCTAATGCTCACCAAAACTGCATTTATTTGATAAAAATACAGTAAAACTGTGAAATATTATTACAATTTAAAATAACTCTTTTATATTTGAAGATGTTTTACATTTTTATTTATCTCTGTGATGGCGAATCTGAATTTTCAGCATCATTACTCCAGTCTTCAGTGTCACATGATCCTTCAGAAATCATTGTATTTGTTGCTCAAGAAACATTTCTTAATATTATCAGTTGCAAACGGTTGTTCTGCTTAATATTTATGGAGTTTTTTGATGAATAGAAAGTTCAAAAGAACAGTTTTTTGTTTTTTTTGGGTTAACAGCATAAACGTCTTTAATGTCACTTTTATTCAATTTAATGCATCCTTGCTGAATAATAATAATAATAATAATAAAAAATCTTACTGATCCCAAACATCTGAATGGCAATATATGTGACACCACTAAAGTGTCACAGTGAGGATCTGTGACATAGTAAACTAGAGGCATGAATATCTAATCTTCCTTTTGACCATATACTCACCCATCATTCGTTCTGATATTAACATCTCTCTCTCTCTCTTCTTTCCCTTTCCCTTCTTCTTCTTCTCTCCACTGCCCTCAGATCAGTCTTTTGTCGACTCTAACAAGTACTCCACAGCCAGCGCGCTCCAGGGCCTGGCCTTCTCCTGAAGTATGTTACTCATCCGTTACTCCTCCCACATCCATCCCACTGTTTCTATATCTGATCATCCATATACCAACAAATAACAGTGCTCTAGCATAACATGTATGCTTCTTTTTTTATGGTGTTAATGATGTTAAAATACTTACAATCCCAGCTCTAAGAAATTCAGTGATGCGAGTTGGAAGTGACAGACAAGAGGCATGTTTGAGAAACCTGTGCGAAAACAGTCATTCTTTTGCAATTCCATTGAAAATTACACACTTCACCTTTAAATCTCCCATGTTTCCTACACACCATTTTTCTGTTTCAGTACCTCATGCTATATACCTGCAAAACATGCTACATTGAAAATTATGTTCCAGTGTGTCAGGTTTTATGTGCGAGTGTGTGTTTGCATGCTTTCAAGGTTGTGTTTCACCTCCAGCGGTTCCTAGAGTACCCAAAACAGTTCACCTCTCTTCTTTTCTTGCTTGTCAGCAGTTGCTAAACTCATGTTGAGTCAGATCTGCAGTGCTAAGCATTTTCCTCGTGCGTAAAGAAAAAGTTCATGTTGGCTTAACTAAAGAGAGTGAAGTCTCTGGCATGAATGATGAGAAAGACTGTCTCAGATTTCCTTGAATTCATCATTTATAGTGGTGTACACCAGGGCAACCATGACCTTACAAGCCCAGAAATGGTTTGCAAACAATTCGATATTTAATCAAGTGCTTCAAGTGTCTCGTTTTTGCCAATTTTGCATTGACGCTGAAAGAGATTAGGATTCATCCCTCATCTGAAGAAGCCACAGTTTGTAACGCAGATGTGGAAACTGATTTCTGAGTTTAAAGAACTGCGAAAAATATGAAACGGTGTCCAATCTCGTAGCTGGTGCTTGCTTTGCTGTACAACTCAAAGTTTAATTCTCTCACACTTCATTTTTATGTGCAGCCAGGTCTGTTTCAATGAAAAATGGCATGTTTAATGGAGTAAAGTGAACTAACACTCTTGTGTCTTTCTCTCTTCACAGTTATCCCTGGAATGATTGTTCCTCCAATGTAGGGTGCGTGGGTGTGTGTGTGTGTGT